TAAGTCCTTCTGTTTCCGATCCCTTCTCCCTGGAGTATCCACCACGGCTCGCTGTTTAGTGACATCTGCAAACTTGCTGAGAGTGCAGTCCACACCATCTTCCAGATCATTAATAAAGATGTGGAGTGTCCTGTTCCCCCCTGCCCCCAGGGGTGGACAGGGAATGGCTCCAGGAAGCATGGGAAGCGTTAAACCCCATAGGGGGTTCTGGTTCATTATTTCATCCCCTAGGAGCTGTGAGGCCACCCTGCAGCCCCTCTGGCCCTGCCTCTGTGTAGTGGCCCTCAAACATTGCATGAGCGACACAGAGCCTCGCTGAGTGACTCCCTTGGGCTGGAGGCAGGATCCCTGCAGACCAGATTATCCCAATTTTTTCTTCTGGCCTTTGTGTTAAGTGGGGAGGTTGGTGCAGCCAGATGCAGCACCAGCACCTGGGGGAATATTAACGAGGAACTGCCTTTAATCCTTTCTCTCGTTCATATACAACTCTGCTCTGCTACCTAAATCAACAAGCCATTAAACACCTCCTGAAACAATCTGCCTGGATCTGTAAGGCCACTCACTGCTTTGGGATTGTTTCCTTCCTATGAATGAGTTTTGCTGTAAATTACAGCTCTGCGCGCATTCCCTTGGGCCGAGCGAGCGAGCCTCGGCAGAGAAGCCAGCTCTGATTGGTGTCTGGCTCCCCCAGCCCCTAATTGAAGCCAAATGTGCAAGATGTGGGATTGTGGGACGTTGGCCGGGGTCCAGGAATTCGCAGAATGCCTCGGCGCCGTCTTGCATCAGCCGGCAGAAGTTCGCACTCGGCGGGGAAGAGAAATCTGCGGCCCCACTCTGGCGCGTCTTGGGGTAAGTGCTACGGGGTCAGGAGCCCAGTTGCCCAAGATTCCGGGCTGCACCAGCGCGGCGGGGCGAGAGCAGAGCCCGGGAGCGGCCGGACCCCGAAGTTTTGGGACAAGTTGCGGGAGGTCGGGACGAGCTACCTCCGGGGGGAACGTTCTGCGGGGAACGGGGCGCTGCGGGTCGGCCCGCCTGGGGGAGGGATCCCCGCCCCGGCTCCAGCGCGTCTCTTGCCTGCTGCGTGCTAAAACTCCCCAGGGTCCCGCCTTGCCTCCACCCCGAACTAGAGCGCGGACAGGGCAGGGCCGCCTGCGAGCCGGGCTGTGCCCCCCGGGCCTGGTGGAGGGGAGCCCGCCGAGCCCCTCCAGGGGTGCAGCGGGGTGGCTGAGGTAAGCGGGCTGCGCGGCCCTGCCCGCGAGGTGCCGAGCCGCGGCCCCAGACGCTCCGCGCAGCGCCGGGTAACGGGGCCGCGGCAGCCCCGCTCCCCTAGACGGCGAATTGTAGCCAGAGCAGACTACAGTTCCCAGCAAGCATCGGGCTAACCCGCCAGTGCGGCCCACGGCGCCTATGGCACTGCTTTCCGGCGACTTGTGGTCCTCGGCCTGCTCTGACCTGTGGAAGTGTAACACTACTGCAGAAAAACTAGACTTCATTCTGGGTTATAGTAGCAGGAGTGTTCTAAGCGAGACATGGGCAGTAATTCGGTGGCTCTACTCTACACTGATATAGCCTCAAGTGCAGTTCTGGGTGCCACATTGCAGGAAAGATGTGGAGAAACTGGAGAGAGTCCAGAGTAGAGCAACAAAAACGATGAAAGGTCTAGAAAACACGACCTGTGAGGGATGACTGAAAAAATTGGGTGTGTTTAGTCTGGAGAAGAGAAGACTGAGAGGGGACATAACAATCTTCAAGTACATAGAAGTTTGTTACAAGACAGAGGGAGAAAAATTGTTCTCATTAACCTATGAGGATAGGACATGAAGCAATGGGCTTTAATTGTAGCAAGGCTGGTTGAGGTTGGACATTAGGAAAAACTTCCTGTCAGAGTGGTTAAACCCTGGAATAAATTGCCTAGGGAGGTTGTGGAATCGCTGTCATGGGAGATTTTTAAGAGCAGGTTAGACAAACACCTGTCAGGGATGGTCTAAATAATACTTACCCTTACCCTGAGTGCAAGGGACTGGATTAGATGACCTCTCGAGGTCCCTTCCAGTCCTATACTTCTATGATGAATATCTTTGGGGCTCTATAGCCCCCAGCTCTGCTGTGTCTGAGGCCTCCATAGTGTCTAATGGGGCAAACTCCTGGTCTATGGAGGAGCTGTGTCAGCCCTCAGCATGGCCTGTGGAACGTTAGTTAGCCTATTACTGTGAGCCCTTGTCACGGAGTCAGCCCTTGTCACGCTATACAAAGCCAGTCAGGACTCTGGGGGAGCATGCCTCCTCTCTCTGAGCATACTGTCTCCACGGCAAGAAGCTTACACAGCTTCGACTTTCCTGGGTCTGACCTTGGAGCATTCTGCATCCCCTTCCTCACTGTGTGCTTCCCGCAGCGAGTCCACCCGGGCGGGGCTACTGGGGAAGCCAGAGGGCCCTGCACCCCGACTCCGTAATCAGACGTTGGTAACAAAAATCTGTCACAATCTGCTTGGAATGTCAGTTGATTAGGCTGACGCCACAGGATTGTTTGGGGAGAAGATGACTAAACACATCAAGTGTCTAGATTTTTAAAGCTTTATTGATTAAAATAATAAAATAGCGGAGAGTGCTGGAAATGCTTTTACGTCACTCAAAGGAAGGAAGAAAGTGTTAATGCCCCTCTTTCCAACTGAGCAATCAGCTGTGCCTTAGTGAGCTTTCCAATGCGCAGCCGTCTTTCTCTGCACAGGTCCACAATGACCTTCTTAAGGAGATTGTTATAGGCCATCTCCACGGTGTTCCGAAGTGGTCACAGACTCACAGGCCTATGCTCTCTCAGCTCCCCATGATCCCTGGGAGGAACCCCTTCAGTGCGACAGCCCTTTTCGGGGGTCCACCTCTTTCGGGGTTAAGCCATAGGCTTCTCCTGGAACCACACCTCTTGGCGCCTTCAGCACTCCCGTCTCTTGCTAATCCTCCTTTGTTTTACTGCTCCCCAGTCACTTACTGCAGGATGCTCTGTCCATGAGGTGCAGTTTATCCCACCCTTGCCACCAGTTATCATGGAGTCACCAGGGCGATGCTCTGGAAGTACTCCATACGAAGCCAGGCAGGACTCTGAGGGAGCATGCCTCCTCTCTCTGAGCATACTGTCGCCAGGGCAAGAAGCTTACACAGCTTCGACCTTCCTGGGTCTGACCTCGGAGCATTCAGCATCCCCTTCTCACACCGTGCGCTTCCCGCAACGAGTCTGCCCAGGCGAGGCTCCTGAGGAAGCCAGAGGGCCCTGCACCCCAACTCCGCAGCCAGATGTGACTCCCAGTCAGCTGGCAAAACAGCAAGACTCACATAGGCTCACATACAGCATAACAAGGGAAAATCCCCACTTCATCACAGCCCTGTCCTAGGCGCTAGTGCAGAGGAGCTGTGTGCTCTGCTCAGGGCGGGTGGGTTGTAAGGAGAAGATGGACCTGAGATAACAAACCTGCTTCCAACCAGCCCCTCCTCTGCCAGCCTCACTGTCTTGCCAGGGTTCACATGCATCTGAGGAGCTGAGCCTCAGGCAGCTGGGCCCAGAGCCTCAAAGGTATCTAGGTGCCTAGCTCTCATCCATTTCAGTAGTCATCGAAATACTTGTGAGTGCTGGGGGGTGCTGCACAACCACTTCCTGCTCGTTTACTAACCTGAGAGTTGGACGGGATGACGCATGGGAAAAGGAAGGGTCAGGCATGCTCCTGGACTGGATGTGTGTGCTCTCTCTAATGCCCTGGCCTGACCTCTCTGTTGGGCTCCATAGCTGCTGCCTGCGGGGTGTTGGGCCTCTGCTCCCCACTCCCCCAGAGATCAGAAACAGGGAGCCTGCTGGTGGCTCCCACATGGGGAGGGTGGAGAGAGAAGGCTGGGCTGTGTCACCGGGGAGGGGGAGCCAGCAGCTCAGGGTCAGTTCATTTCCTGCACCGCCCCTCTTTTTCTATGGATAATGTAGCAGCCCAACCACCTCCCCCCCCCAGAAGAACCTGGGGTAGGGTTACCATACGTCTGGTTTTTCCTGGACATGTCCGGCTTTTTGGTAATCAAACCCCCGTCTGGGGGGAATTGCCAAAAAGCCGAACATGTCCGGGAAAATACCAGCCGGGCACTTCCCCTCCCGCGGCTGCTGTGCTCCTCCCCTGACTCTTCGGCTCTGTTTAAGAGCCGAGCTGCCCGAGCACTACTGGCTTTGGGCAGCCCCCTTGCCTCCGGACCCCAGCCGCCGGCCGGGCACTTCCCCTTCTGGGCTCCAGCTGCT